CCCCAAAACCCCAAAACCCCAAAACCCCATTGGATTACTTTAGAATGTAAGGAGTAGATAATTTTTTAATTTAAAATCTACTGTTGATGATATTATTCATTAATCATTTTAGAAATGAAACAATTCTTAAAAATATTAACTACCCACCTACTTTGTTATTTAGTTTAACTTGATGAGTAATGCTATTGGAATTATCCGAGAGGTTTCGGGGATGATACAGCCAATTCAATTTTCAATGTCTTAGATATCGATAAAAGCATGAATATAGTAATTGGTGGAGAAGTGAGATCCACCAATCTCGATGTTCCTTCTGGTGGAAAATATCCCTTTATAATGTATTTAAGTGCAGATTAATTCACAAAGTGGGGCAAATACTATAAAGAGAATAATTTAAACATGGTGGGGCTTACATTAGAGTATCAAACAGAAGACTCACAAAAAGGATTAGCAATTTTTAATAGCGATTCTACATTAGTACAAGTAATGATAGTGTTCTCAACATTGGATGGGGAAATATTAGCCTCTTACAGCGATATTACCAACAATGGTAAGAGATCATTCACATTTTTCTACCTTAACTCATACATTCTTGATAAAAATGGAAACATCTTCTTGTCTCAATACATGCAATCAAGAAACAGAATCATTACTTAAAAAATTTAGCCTCTTAGTTAAATTTCACAATCTACTTTTTCCTCTGCATGGAGTTTAATAGATGTGAACACTTAAACTGTTATTCAGACAGCTGGCTAGTCTACTTATCTAGATTAGACTAATTAATATTTATATACAGGATCCAAAAGTTTATATTATACCTCATCTAGTACTTATGACACTTACCTAACATTATCAAGGTTTAAGACTAGCGATGGAACTCCAAGTGGAAGTTATAGTTTTATATATAAGAAAACAGCCAATGGAGATTCTTCAAATATAATGGCTATCGATGTTACTAATTTCGATTCTCAAACTTAGATATTTGCTTGCGGATCGTATGTGTATACATAGTCACCCATTGAGTATAAGGCAATCATGATGAGAGTTAGAATTTAGCTTGATGGAACATTAATAGAGGCAAGATTAGCTGAAATTAGTGAAAGATCTCAATGCCATGCTGCAAGAGGTGTAAGTTCAACTGAATTTTATGTGGTGCAAAATGATATAGTAAATACCCAACTATTTATTTCCAGAATCTATTCAATGACTACCTAGTCAGCTAGTATTCAAAGAACTAGATTTTAATATCAATCTGCAAAAACTATAGGAGTCTCTAGACTCCTTAACAATTTGAATGTGATTTACGCTGGCTCAATCATTAATTCCTAGATATCAAGCTCATTTACCTAAGGATTTCTAATGTCGCGAGACACCAAGCTTTCTTGCTCTCCAAATAATTTAGACCCCTATGTATTTGGAGGCAATGGATATTTTTATTCTGTTTAAGGTTCTAAAATATCGACAGCCTTCACAAGTGTTGTTATGACATACTAAAATATAGCTAATGATTTATTTAAAGCTCTTGATCTATCTTAATTTAATGTAGATTAGAGATACATCTGCTCATTTACACCTAGCATCAAGTTAAAAGATGATGAATCTTCTATAAACTAATTAATATACATCAAAGACATTGATTACATGTTTGCATTTGATGACTTGTTTTAAGGAGATGAAGATTGCTCAGATATCAAGAGGTTTTATACTTTGAAATAAGACTCCTCTAATGCAGTCTAGTTTATTCTTTAAAATTAATAGATCCTTACTTAAAAACTAGAAAATCTAGCACAATCTCAGAATTAAGTTGAAGTTACTGGCTACTTTCCTGATGGATAAAGCATAAAATTAAGTCTTAATATTGAATTTATAAATTGTAGAAAAACTTAAGTTGTCTTGGATTAAGAATATCAGGATATTACTTACGTAATTGGATAAGAGTAAATCGTAAGAGATCTTGGGAATTATAGAATTGATTACTCAACTGAATGTGGTCTGCCTGACCTTCAATATTCCGTTTAACCTTAAGTTTCTGATCTTATAGAAATTGATTAATCACTGAATTAGCTTAAAATTGAGACTTAAGAAATAGAAAAATAAGGTATATATCAAATCTAATTAAAATACATCAACAAATACGATATTACAAATATTTAAAAGTTCTCGTTTAAATTGAAAGTAAAATGCTTGCAAGATGATATTAGCTATGCTTATCTTGGCGATTCAAATAGCTTCAGCTATGAAATTTAATAGCCATTATTGAATTTGGATTTCATGGCTAACCTGACCTACTAAAATCTTTGTAGATACAACATTAAATACCAGGCTAGATTGGTGAGTGGAGATGATTTGCCTGAATTCATTTAATTCAATAAGGAGCTTTTGCTTTTCACTATTTAGACTGATGCAGTTGAATATATTGGGAATTATAATATCAAGATTATGGCAATTTACGATGAGATAGAATAAATCATTAATGATGAATTCTCTTTTGAGTTGATAGTAAATGACTTAATTTTGACGACGACTACAACAACAACCTCTACCACTGAAACTCCAGATCCAACTCCTACACCAACTCCCACTCCTACTCCTACACCCGACTATTAATGTGAGTCTGAAGTAATTTGTAGTGAAGATCTTACATGTATACCAGAGTTAAACTGCACAATATGTGTGAATAATACATATTGTATCGACTTAACGAGCACTACAACCACAACTACTACCACAACTACCACAACTACTACTACTACTACAACCACGACAACAACCTCAACGACAACAACCTCTACTACAACAACTACAACCACAGCTACTACAACATCCTCATCGACAACAACTTCAACTACAACTACTGCTACACCAGTACCTACTAAAACTCCAACACCAACTCCAACAACAACGTAAAGTGTTACTACTACATTAAGTTTAGAATAACTTTCTAGGCTTAACAGATACTCACCTATTTTCGTGAATCTACCATTAAACCAAAATATAAAAGCTGAAAAATTAGCAAATTATAAGCTACCTAAGACTTTTGATGGAGATACTCACTAGGTAAAAGTCACTTTAATTAAGAATAAATTCTATGAATTTATTGCCTTAAGTGGCAGTAATCTAATTATGAATCCAAAAGCCAAAGATCTTGGATCTTATAAAGTATAATTAAGTTTAAGTGATAATGGAGTGCCAATAAGAACTACTGTGTATGATATTATAATATCAGTATATGGAGAGTCTTTTATAATAAAAAATCAAACTTAGAACTCAAAGAATTATATCCTATAGCAATAAAATATCAGTTAATCATTAGTTAATAAGATAGAAGACTTTAATGCAATAATACCAGAGGTTTCTACCAATGGCTTAGTTTAAATAAATCTCAATCAGGAATTCGAATTTTTCATAATGAATAAGACATATATTGGATTATTAATAGAACTGGAAATAGTAGACGAATCATATTAATAGTCAAACTACAAAGTCTTATAGAGAAGATAACTTTCCCAAATTCCTAATGAGAAACTTAAATCCTGGAATATAATTAATATTTCAAAATAAAAGGTGGATATAGAATTATTTTTTGAAGATCCCTATGAAATTACAAATTCAGATAAGTTGAAAGTTAAAATGATAGTTTATTAGAGGAAAGATTAGATTTGGAAACTTAAGGAACTTGGAATGTATTAAACTATTGTTGTAACAATTCCAAATTAAATACCATAAGGTAATTTCACAAATTAATTTCTGTAATTTATTTATATAGACGATGTTGATTATGCTTTGAATATTGGATCAGCTATCTCAATAATCATAAGACTATTTCTCTTTACAAGTTTCTTCAGTTAGTTATTAATGTAAATTAAGTATCTTAAAAACAATAATTAGGAGCGAGAGTTACAGGATTGTTTGGTAATCAGTTATTTCAGTATAATACATAGTTTTCATTGCCTTGTTTCAAATGAGTTTGCCTTAAGTGGGTTACAAATTTGTTAAGCAGATTATTAATCAGACAAACATGGACATTTTTAGTCTGTAAAGTCTTTATGATATAATTCCATATCTCAATGATTAAACTTACTCAAGCTCAAAGAATTATAATAAATAAAATTAGTACATAGAAATATTTAATAAGGTTGGGTTAGGAAGCCCTTACATTTTGATTTACTGCAGAGACTACATATTTATGATATTGCTTGGACTAGTATTTATTTTGGTAGATTTTATTATTCAAAGAATACTCTCTCTTACATATGATTCCAAAAATCAAACTTTGATCAAACCCTAAAAATACCAATCCTAAACATATAGAAAAGCTATTATCATGCTTTTGAACTATTATTATTTAAGTAGAAGAATATCTAGATTTTGGTTTCAATATATTTTGCATTAATCTTATCTGCCATTGAGTGTTATGGCTATACACATCCTAAGTTATTATTTTGATACACTAGAGCTAAAGAGTACAGTTAATATAGTTATTGCTTCATCTTTAGTGATTTCATTCACACTTTTCTACTTGATTCTAGAATTCTATATGTTCTTTGATGCAACTCATAGTATCCTATAATTAAAAAATGAAGAAACTACTTCCTTAAGGATAAAGTAGAAATAAAATATGACAATGTAAAAAATGAGATTTAACTAGAAATTAAGCAATCATCTTTAGATTTTAATATTCCTTATTAGAAGAGCATCATTTGCTCTTTTGGTGAATTTCGCCAGTTTTTTGCCCTAGGTTTTTGTACAAATTTTCCTTACTTATGCAGTTGTAAATATTAAGCTGAAGAATATATCTAGAGGTGCTTTTATTTTAAATTTTCTTGAAATTATAAATGAGCTTTTAGTACTAGCCACTCTTTATTTAACATTAATGTTCTCAGGATTTGTTCTAGATTAACGAATGCAAACTTAAGCAGTTTGGGTATATTGCTCGATTATATTATTTACTCTTACCTTTAATTATGTGATATCCATAATCTTAGTGTTGGTAAGGCTAATCTCAAGTTATAAAAACAAGGATCTGACCATATTTACTGTATAGAAAAACTAACTTGAGACTAATACAGAATTTTCAGTGAACAGATTAGCAAAAGTACAACCTGAAATTAATGAGACCTGCAATTAAAATACTTCAGCTGTTTCTCAAAGAAAAAGAAGTTGTACTTTATAATAAGAATCTTTTGTAGTGTCTGATCAGAATTTGACTATTATTTAAAAAGAAACCTAGCATGCTTTTACTTTGCAATAAAATAACTTTTAAATGGATTTCAGATAATTTGTAAATTCAAGAATAAAAGGTTAAGCATCACACTAATCAAGTAAAGAGAATTAATGTGACACACAATAACAATTAAAAAATGAAAGAGATTACAGATAAGATGAGATTGATTATACAGATATTAATAATATCGAGGAAATCATCATTAATGAAAAAAGTAATCCCAGAAAAAAAATTCTTAAAAAGGTGGCAAAGCCTATGATAGCCTGAAAATGTAAATAAAAATCTAAATTATCGATATTAAATTATAATATTTTTGTTAAGTAAGTTAATAGACTTTTTTTTGAACCATGGGGTTTTGGGGTTTTGGGG